AATATTTTTCAAATTCCTTTCATTGTAGGAGAGATATTTTTCCTTTCCAGTGATGTCTCATCAGTACTGCATCTATATAACACACTGCTCAGAACCACAACCAGATGGGGTTTGTCCACTGTGTGGAGGCACAAATCAGATTCACCAGGTTGTTCACCCAAAAGCAAAGGCCTATTTCTTCTTGGAAATTAAAGCAAAAATATGGTTGGAGCTATGTGGGATATCAGTTAGAAAACAAGAAGATGCAGCGAATTATGTCCAGTTTCAAATGGATGTTTTAGGATGCAGATACTGACAGCACTGATGTAGACAGTCTCAGATAAATACATGGTGGGAAAAGAAGTTCTCCTAAACTGACAAGCTCATGGTAGAATATCAGCCTCATGAAAACAGAGGCAGGCCTTGCACTGTGTCACATCCTGCCAAACAGATCTTAAATAACATACAGGTTGTTAAATTGCTTATTTAAATATGTTTACATTAAAGTAATTTCAGCATATCAGAATTAAAAAAAAAAAAACAAACCCCAGCTCATCTGCTATTCACTCACATCCTCTGGAGGCTGGTTTTTGATTAGCTGTATTTTCTCTAAAAGGTAATATTTTTTTAGAATTCTGTAAAATATTCTTAAACAAATGTATCCATCAGCTGTGCTATATTGCAGAAAATAATCTGTCTCCCTACAAGTCTAAAGCTGTGAGCCACTAAACTAAGTCTTAAATGCTATCTTTCTTTCTACATTTTCAGTCTGAACATAGAAATTGTAGAAATTGTTCAGAGTAAGAACTATCATACTTTAAATATAGATAATTTTGTGGAATGTAATGTTGCAGCAGTGGAGCAGTATAGCAAACAAAATGTCAGCCAAGAATGCTGTAGCTTTATGATCTTGGGTATATGCTGAAAGAAACACAGTTTCTTCTTTGCACTCAAAAAGAAATTTTGCCAGCACATGCATTAAAAGAGGTCAATGGTCCTGCAAGGTGCTATTAATGTATAAAGTAATTTTCATGCAGTTTTCACACTTTCTATCCTAGAGCACTTTTCAAAAGTAATAATAAAGAGTATAAGGGAGAGAGCAAAAGAAGAATAAAGAATTACAAAGGAAAAAAAATTAAGATGCTTTGAAGCAGGGGGAGAATCAGTGGCTTATGTGAGGCTACATTATACCCCAGCCTCCCACACCACACAGACACACCGGGTGGGGATGGTTTCACATGACACAGCAGGCCCAGCACAGATTAGCTGATCTAAAAGTGAGTGGCCATCACAAAGGGGCAGTTTTCCTTCCCTCAGTTACTGTGGCACCATTTCCCTTCTATTGGATGTAAGGACTGTGTCATTACGGGGCAGGCTAGTTTATCAGGCTGATCCAGCACAAAGCCACGCCGAGGGGCAGCAGAGCAGAGCTGAGGAGCAGCTCTTTGTCAGCTCAGCCAGCTGAACCAACTCACCGTGAAGCCATGAGGGGAAGTGCCAAGAAAAAGAGAGGATGGCAGAAGCCTTGGCCAAGGGCTGCCTTTTTAATGGGGAAGTTACTGGAACACCTTAGCTGCCCCCTAAAAATGAGATTTTTGGTCTTTACCTGAAAAAAAAAACCTCCAGAAGTGTTTCATTCTGGTTATGTTCTAATGAAAACTTAACTCTTTGCTTCAAAATTAATGAACATGTTTTAGCATACTTTCTGAAACCAGAAGAATAAATTAAGAATGCCTTTGGATTTGTTAATTACAATCAGCTTACATTTCTAACTTCTTATTATTATCTTTTTTAACTGTCACACTGGTCAAGATTATACAAACACATTTTCATAAAGGTATACGTCTTTGCCTGGAACATACCCTTGAAATAAGGTACACACTGCATTGTGCTGAAAGCCACAACAAAGCAGACTCTGCCTGTTAGCTCACATTAACCGAGTCTTTGGCTGATATTTCCATGGAAGGTATGCTGATCTTTCTAGTAGTGTCAATAGAATCACATTACTGCTCGAGTCATCATTTTCTAAAAGCTATTTGGCAACTCACCATTCATCCCCTACAGTTAGATTCAACACTGTTTACAGCATCTAATAAACAGGCTTAGTGAGATAGAAAGTTAAGAGATACTTCATTTTTTTCTTAATGTGGTTAATTTCATAATAAAATGCCATATCTATTTAAAAGTGTTATTCTTTCTCTTTTGATCACGAATCTTAATGCTTTATTTGTGACATCTGAGTTTTTAGTAACAATAAATGCTTTGTCTGCTTGATGCAAAGAGCTCAGTGGTTTAATTAAAGGGGATTAATTGAATTAACCTAATTAATTAATTCAGTTAAACCAAATGCTTAGAAAGACAAGGTTAAGAAGTAGTTGTGTTATGCTATTCATTATTGTATGAGTGCTCACAATCCTCTTCAGTGCAGTCAGCTGAGTTAGACTGAGTCACTGGTAAAAGCAGTTAAACTAACCTTGCTGACTTCATAATGAAATAGGGTTTAACAGCATTAATAAACAGTAGGATAATAACAGCAGAAATAAGAGCAGCTGGAGCACTAACAAAATTAATTATGGCATCACAGCTGAGATTGATAATGAAAACCCCTGGACAGTAACTTCTCAAACTAGTACAGCTGTTTCCAAATAGCCATCTGTCTGGGCCCCAAGGCTATTTTATGTATGGATACTCTTAAATTAACTTAGCAGAGCTCAGTTAAAGAATCACAGAAACAATGTGATAATATTGAAAGCTAATGTGATATAAGCAATATAAACTTACAGTGGTTTAAGAAAAAATTGAAAAGGGGCAATTTTGCAACTTTGAAGTGGTTGAACAGCTGTGTGTCCTAGAGTCTGAAATAATTGATTTGATGACAAGAAAGCTCTATGAGAGTGATTAAAAGAAAATTTTTCTTTTGAAACAACTGGCAAAGAAGGAAAAGGAAATCTTACCACTACAGCTCTCCAAAACAACTTAAGTATAGTTTATGGAAAGATTAAATTTCTTTATTCACAGGAACTTTTTTAATCAATTCAACTGCCAAATGACATAGTCCACCCTTAGGCCCTACTTTTCTTAGGCAGCATTTTGAAAATGGTTTCATCTTGTCCTCTAAAAATGCACTTGTAATTTTCACCTTTAAGATTTTACATGTATGAAGACTGAAACTATGATTGTCATCATATCATCTAATATCATATTCATCCTTTTTCATAGTGGTGTGTTGTGAATATATAGGTTTGTTTCTTAGATGTGGGAAATGTGCATTTGTAACTCTTACTGGTATCACGGACAATGGAATGTGTGAAAAAACATGCCTTGATGAGATGGTAAAAATACTAACAAATTAGAAACAGAAAGTCTAAACCACAAACATCAAATTGCAATAATTTAAAATTAATTAGCAAGCCTGGTAGGCCATCTTCTGTTATCACCTCCAGGAATGCAATTTTCCAACAATTAACACTGACAGAACTAAACATGTACTACAAAGAAAAGAATTCAGCTTTTATGTTTTAAATCTATAATGAGAATAATTTGATCCTAGTAAATTTGAATCCACTGTTTTCAGATGATCAAAACCAGATATATCTATGTTTTCTTTTAAAAAGAAAAGATGCCTATTTTTTTTTTCCAAAGTAAAGTCATAATAAACCATAGTAGATAGGCTATGAAATCCCAGTTGAAGAAAACTTTGGTTGCTCTGCCCAAGTTTTCATTACATATTAGTCAAGTCTGCTGGAAGACAACTTATGTCTCATTGATTTCATTTTTTCATCATTTTTGTACACTGTTACTAGTTACTATATGATTTAATCTTCTAGGTCTAAGCTACTAAAGCCAAGAATTCTACTTCCCTTATATACACCTCATATATACACACATATAAATGCAGTTTTCCCCTGTTGTGATGTATGATTTTGTTCTTCAGAATTAATTAAATTCAGCTATAAAATATCCCTTAGAAAATTTTATGGATTGGTAAATAAAACCTGATCTTTTGTAGATTAAAACTGTAATATAAATATAAATAAATGCTTGCAAAATCTACACAGCCCTTGTAACTGTAACCCTGCTGTCACCAAAAAAAAAAATCGCTCTCCCATAGGTCAGGGCAAAGATTGGCCAGCTGAGAACACATCTGGGACAGTGTCACCAAACTGAAGGGCACACAGTGGTGGCTGGTACAACATGATTTCCCCTCTTTTCAACACAGCCACAGCTGAACGACCCCTTCTCACCTCCAGCTGTGGGGGTGGAGTTCACTTCCCCAGCGTATCAGGGCTGAGTCCAGCCCACAGAGGCTGCTAAAATGTGGACAGGTTGAGGAACTTCTAAATTTTCCTGAGTTAGTAGACAAAGAGGCTGGGTGAATAATCATAATTAAACCTCTGTGCCTAAGTGAATAGAACTTTGGCCCTGTCAGTAAAGCCTTGTCCACAAACAGGGCAAAAAAAAGAAACAAATTACAGTGTTGGTTCTTAAAGCAATCCAGCTTCATTTCCCTTGGCAATTTATTGGGTTGTTTGGGTTTGTTTTATTTTTTTAGAACTGTACAGGCCAAGTTCTGCTATAAATAACTACAGGAAAATGCCAATAAAACATTTACCAGAGAGAAATCCCACAGTTTGAAAAAACTGTACTATGACCCACCTGGTAAAAAGTATTTATATGGTGAGCAGCTGGTAGAGGTCTAATCCTGCCCTATGAAATACTGTGCCAGCAAATTGTCATAGTCTTCTGAAATTATTGAGTTTTGGCCCTGTACTGTATTTTTCATTGCCACTTTCAGCAACTATCCAGGCAACTAAGACAGAGTAAGTAGTGACTGTGAAGGAACAGCCAGGCATTTCCACCAGACTTCACCTTCTCACTCAGGATTAGCGTCCTACTGTGGCCTGTTTTTCAGTACAACTCAAAGTATAAAAATTCAACACAATGTAAAAAAACCCTAAAAAACCAACCAAACAAAAAACCCCTAAAACCCAAACACCCCCCCTCCAATTTAATTCACTTACCTTTGACTTCCTGCTTAGTCCAGAATTGTTTCACTACTTTATTAATGTGTTTCTCCTCTCTCCACTTCTTTTGCCACTGACGTAGCTCTTGTATTTCACTGTCACAACGGACCTGTGAAAGGGAAAACAGAAAATACAACTAAATTATATACCTTCGTGTTACCCAGGATGATGATACAATTTTTTTCATGGAGCTGTGGCTGGACAAATACATGACAGCCATCCTGTTTGCTGGGCCTGAGGTAGAAACAAAATCCCAGGGGTTTACAGTTTTCAACTTACAGAGAAATAAAAAACACATCATTGACAAACCCCATTGAAAACATAAATATGCCAATTAGGGGATCACTTTGATTACCAAGGACTCCTGAGAATGTGATTGCAGTGAGATGCTTATTCTTTGAGTTAATTAAAATTTCAGGCATTATGCTGAAGGGTATTAGTGCCTTTAGAAAACCACAGTGCTATAAAACCAACCCAGTGACCGACATAATAGAGCACAAGAGGAGCATGAAGGGTCATACAGAAGGGAATTTATTCCAGCAAACTGATTCACACCTGCCATCAGCTGCAAATAGGCTGACTGGCAATCCCAGCCATACAATTTTCACAAACAGGAGAGTCATTAATCTGTTATTTAAAGTAATTGGACTGCATTACGTGATATCTATTCTTTGTCAGTCAATCACCCCATGAAGGCCATAATTCTGCTTCCACAAAAAAATTACAATAGTCACAGGCCTTGATTCCATTTAGATTTAAGTTGAATTTTTCTAGTATTGTTTTTGTACTGGTGTAGTTCCTGCTAACATAAAAGCCAGCCAGCTCTGCATCACCAACTTTTACCACTCTGCTACTTAAACTAGTTGTAAGCAGGATTTGATTAATTAGCAGTGTGTTGCCCATTGCCTACCTTGGCATTCACACAATTACTACCTCCAGTGCACCAGACACTGTCCTGAACAACAGTAGGAAGGGGATGTGCCAGTGTTGACTTAGACACTATTTTCTTAGAGTCATATTCAAATGGTAATAGAATTATTTTTAAAATGCAGTTTATTATTTGGTTTGGGCTTTTTTTTCCTAAATATTACATATAAAAAATGTCATTATGTTTTAAGACTATGTATAGAGAAGCTTTGGATGCCCCATTCCTGGAGGTGTTCAAGGCCAAGTTGGATGGGGCTCTGACCATAAATCTGGTGGAAGGTGTCCCTCCCCATGGCAGGGGTTTGGAACTAGATGATCTTTAAGGTCTCTTCCAACCCAAAGCACTCTATGATTCTATGACTTAATGTCCTAGTAATTTGGGCTGAAGTTGAATAACATGGTAGAAACAAGTAGCAATAAGCTCAATTTCTCCTGGACACCTTTTTCTTGCAGGAAGATGACTACTTAGTTCTCTAGAAAATCTCTAAATAAATTTCAGTTTATTTTATTCTTATATGATACAGTAGTGAGTTTGCTCTGTGATTTGAACTCTAGTGCTCTTCTCCATTACACTCTGCTTTTCTCTCACTTTACTAAGACACACACAGAGCAAAAGAGCAGGACTTCTGTTCCCCGCTGGTTATAAAAAAACCCAAACCTTAAAGAAAACAATATAAATTATTTATCAAAAGTATTCTTTCTACACAGAATTTCTCCTTTGTGGTGTAGCTAAGAGTGCAATAGACAGTAGCTGAACTCCCATAGCACTCTTCAATCCACTTAGGAGAAGATAACTTGTTATATTTCAGACAGTGCACTGGCAGAGCAGAAATACAATACAAGGTGACTCGATCAATAAAGACAGCCAAGACTTTTACTCAGTGACTTGACATCAGATACCTCTTAGGCCTCTAATAATATCCCATTATACTGATATAGTTCTGTAAAATTCTTCTATAAAAGTGATAAGAATTTCTTACAAGGTTGGTACGAACTTTTAAAAATGAAGGAAGTTACAGTTACTAATGATCTTCTTTTCAGTTATACAAAAAAATAAGATCATTTTCTGTTAAATCCATCAAATACTATTTGCAAAAATAAAACATAATCCCAAACACAGGATACTTTAGGCTTGCAAGAGACATTTTTTCTTTTAGGTTGTCATTTATGTTTTATAAGCCAAATAATTCCCCATTACATGGAGTCAGTTTATCTGCACATGTAGGGGTTAAGGGAATGCTTACTGGGACTCAACCATATAAATGACAGCAATGGAAGAGGCAGGAAGATAGGGAAATTACTACCTCTATATCTAAATGTAGGATTTCTGAAAAAATGATGTGTCCCTTTTACAACTTCAGCTGTGTGACCTGTATTTTGTCCCATGACAGGGCCACAGTGGTCTCTGTATACAGAAAATGAAGCCAATAACTCTTACCAGTTAAAAGATAAATGGCAAATGGAGTATATTCTGTATACTCTTCCTAGACAAATAAAACAGTGAAAGTGCAGTGAAACATAGTGAAATACAGTGTTCTGAGAGGAAGGCATAGTCATATAGACTCAAATACTCCGAAGTCCAACACTAAATCCAAGCAGTGAAAATGAGCTCCCAGAACAAAGTGTCTTTTCTAAAAAGTGAATTAAAAAAAAAGAAAAAAAAAAAACCCAAACACAGATATGCCATCTGCAGTAAAACAGGTAACAGGAATGTAACAAAATACATCAAAATGTTCCAAATATGCTTAACAGATTAGAGTTTAGCATAGTTGTGATAATTCCTCAGAAAGCAGCCTGTTTTGTACCCAGAGTGCAGCTCCACCATGATGGAAAAGCCATGACTCAGCAGCAAAATCTCCAGGCAAATAAACAGTGCAGAGCCTTGTGTCCCTCCTGCAGACCAGCCACGCCTGCAGCCCTGGAGGGGTCTGAGCTTTGAAGTGAGAGTTCACTCCTCCCCAGGTCACTTGAGTTGAATCTACACTTGCTGTAAATAACAGGGAATATTCGTGTGACCTTCTGGGATTAAGCCTTTCCGAGGAGCCACAACTTGCTGGAAAGTAATAAAAGTTGTGATAGCAAAAGCACGACTGCACTTTGCAAGATACAAATCAAAACTGAAGCAGGTTTAACTTTTGCTCAAACAACACACATAAAAAAGCGCTGAATATTTACATAATGCTGTCCAATTTCAACTCTAAGAAAAATCTACAAGATTTAGTCAAAATAAACTTCTTTCAATGCTAAGTGAGAACAGGTTGCACAACAGCAGAAGGAAAACACCAAAACTTCACCCAGAGACATCAGAGGAAATTGTATTAATGAAAAATCCCCTCAGTCCAATAGTTCTGCAAATTGTAAAGTTTAAAAAGAGCCTATAAAAAAATGGCACTAAGCAAAGATTCTGCAGTAGAGGGGTGAAGGAATATATCATCTTTTACTGGGAAAGTGCCTGGAAAATTGATACCTATCTAAATACTGCCTTGGCCCATGACAGATGAATGGAACCTCAATAAAAAAGGATGATGGAAAGTGAAGAGAAAGAATTCTGATGACAGAGCTGTCTCAAGTCTTCTCTGGGTGCTCCTCTTTGCCCTCAAAGAGCCCACTCAAGATGACATCTTCCTTTCTGTGATCTCCTTACAAAACTCAGCAGTTGTAGCTCCCACTGCTATTTGTTCTGGAATTTAGTTCTTGACTGAACTTGAAATAATTTTCAGAGTACCCATCAATGTCTTTGCATGAAGGATTGTAGCAAGCACTTTGTTGATGGCAGCCATCAATTATTACTACCAAAACAAGTGTTTTTCTGAAATATGCTGCAGATAATGATGAATGTACTGCTTTGATCACAGTTTATTATGAAAAAGTTCTCAATATTCTGTACCTATAGTTTTATTTTCCCTTTACATAAAAAACCCCTGATCCATGTTTGCATTTTTTGCCCCATGTTTTTGATACTGGCACACTCAGACAGCGAGATGTGGCAGAAACAAGTGAAGTATCGTTAGAAGACACGATGCTCAGTTTTGTAACTAGATAAACTCTACTGCCTAAATCAGTATGGTTAACAAAATACCTCAGAAGTGCTCTGAGTCCACAGAAGACATGTCTTAGAAAACCAATGATGAAGTGCACTGTCTGGCAGAGTGCCATGTAAAGTATCTATGTGTGCTTGTGTTTAATTATTCAATATTAACACACTGTGTACATTTTTATTTCAATAACAGTGTTTAAAAGTTCTAAATTCTCTGAATTATAAAACAAGGTTTAATGAAAAACATCAGAAAAGATTTTCAAATATTGACACAATAATATACATAGAATGCAAAAGGGCATTATTTGTAAGTGTTCATTTATTACCAAACTAAATCAGTGTTAGCTGACAGAGCTATCTATTTTAAAAGTAAATAATCTGAATTATTTGGTAAATTTTCATAACATACTTTATCATTAATGCAATGAAATCCAATTTAAGCTTAGTGTTCTCTTAATTTGAAAGTCCAAGGACAACACATTGCCCTATGTAGTAACTTGTTACTAATGATTTTTATTTCATATTCTCACTTTAATTTTTTATTTTTAAAAACCTGATTTCTTTCATCTAGAATAACATTAACAGCTAATTTTATAGTCTGAGTTATTTTTTATGTCTCCTACCTTTTACAGCTAGGGTTTTTCTCTCATTTCTGGGAACTGGTTTAGAATGATAAATACCAGTGTGAAAATTCTGAAGTTAATCTGTACAAGGGAGAATCGTGCCCTTCACAAGCTTTTATAGAAGCACAAAGTATCTGAGCAACCTTGCACTGTTCAGCAAACATGACTGTTATTGGATAATGGTTGCCTTTGCAATACTCCTCTGTAAGGATGCCTGCAGGGATACTGTCTGGCCTAATTAATGTTAGTGTCAATGCCATCTCTGCTTAAAAAAGAAAAATAAAGGAAAACGAACAACAGAAAGCGCCGCAAAAATCAATCAGTCAAGACCATTTTGAGGTATTTCATTGTCTTTGGCTGCACAGCACATTACAGGAGCCACTTATATATTTGTGCTTGTTAAAAATAGTAAAAAAGAATTTACCAGAGTGTTTTATACTGATTGTTATTTAAAGAACACCTGACATCCAGAAATGTCTCACTGTCCATCACAACAAAATTGCTGCTATATCTGGGGGCTATTTAGAAGGTTAAATTTTGACAAAGGAAGCAAAGACATTTCTTCATCACCAAAGTCACCTGAATTTCAAGTCCATTTCTTTCCAAGGCATGAAGCTTTTAAAAAAAAAAAAATTTTACAGAATTTGTTCAGGATTTGCAAAATAATTCATTTAGCATCCTGGGGTTAGCATGGCTGTTACCCTCCAAATTAATAGTATTGGACAATTTTCTTTGTGTTTATTTTATGCTCCTTGCTTTCCCCCCTTAAACTGGGGATTGCATTAGTGTTGTATTACTAATATGTCTTATGACATCTGCTCACCATTTTGTTTTCCCTTTCCTGGAATAAAAGCCTCCATGCCTCTCCTAGATCTCCTGTGTCATTCTTGGTCTCAATTTTTTGTTCCTGTATGCTCAGACAGAACATACAGACCTCACCAATCCTCCTTGTGCATCTCCACCCTCACTCACATATCCCTGCATGAAGCAAAATAACATTCCATCCTTTAGCAACTAGCCAGAGCAACTTTAAATTTAAAAGACAAAATGGTTCACTGTTAATCATACTTTTGAAAATCCAATTTCTGTGGGTTTTCTGTTGTTGAGGAAAACACTGAGATTACATCAGCATAAATGCCTGTGAAAAAAACTGTAGTCACTAGGCATAAGGCAGAGCAACATCCAAAGCCAATGAACCATAGGGGTCTCAGCAGCTATTTATAGTATCCCCTACTTAAAATTTATGTAAGGATTTTCCCTGGGGCCTTCACAGTCCTACAGTTTTCAACATCAAGCAAAATAATTATAGATTACTCTTACCCGATAACCTCTCCAGAAGGATTGAATTATTATGCTTGCTTCTTCTTCTGATAGAAGCAGAGATAGAGGAATTGGTGGCCTAGGACTTAAAAGAAAATATCTTTTTGTAAACAGACAGCCTATAAATGTAAAATACTTTCTTCCTTAACAGTGTATTTTATCAAAAAGATAAATGCTGTTTAGGAGCTTGAAAGGTACAATTTCTTATTGCCCTGAAAATAAAATGTGCAAAGAATATCTCCTTTACAAATATACTGTTATATACACTGCAATAATTTCTTCTTAAAACAATAACATACGAATGGCACATCAAGCACAATAATCTTTCTTATTCTTTTACAGGGATTTCAAATTCCCACTATTATGGTAAGGTTTGAGGTGGCAGTAGGAGGGGAACAAGAGAAGGAGCATGCCATTTGTAAAGCAGAGGAGATTTTAGTGTGCATGCAACAATTAACAGACTTATGATGTAAATGTTTATATTAAATAACAGAATATAAACATATTTTAGTGCATTAATTTACATTATGATGTCCCTAAATTAAAACATACTGAAAAAAGTAATGTTTACCATATCTGCGCAGCATGGACTCATGTTTAGAAATGTCTAAACAAGTTCCTAAAATGCTAAAAATTTACTCTGGATAGCATATACACATTGTTTGGTGATAAAAGAAAGTAATACATATGTGCAACCATTCTTAGCCAAAATACTCTATAGTTTGAAAGCATGTTTGGTGATTCTGTTACTACCAATTTTAATGGGAAACAAAGCAGTAAATAAATTCAGCCATCACTAACAAAAACTGAAAAGACTGTATGAAATCTTGCTTCCCAAAAGCCATTTTCTGTGGGTGTTGATTTATTGCTCACACACAATGATCAAAAAGCATCCAGTGGAAAGGACAAAACAAAATTCATTTATATACTTTCTTTCACAATAAATGTAATTTAAAGCTAATGAACTATAGGGCAATAATGCTGCAACTCATGAAAATCCCAGTAATGAAGAGTAGCCTTGGCACAGTGTTAGAAGGGCTGCCAAGGACCTCTCCCTACTTGGGAAACAGGCTGAACACAGCCTCGACTTGGAAAACCACAACATTATGAATTTTGATGCAGCAACCACCTAGAGACACATGCAGCCCATGCAGGAACATTACCTATGGTATTTATACTCTAAAGACATATATGCTGCAAAGCCCATTAATTGACCAGCTATTTATTTTATGCAGTGTTACATTTTCTGGCTAAAACACAGCCATTTCCTTTGGAAATTTATTTTACAGTATATTACAGCTCAAGCTAATAGGCTTGACAGCTAACATTTTCCTTTCACTTAATTTCTTTCATATTAGTCTCTGCCCTAGTAAGCTTCCTATGCTCTCTGACATCTTTCTCTTAGGGCTTGTCTTCACTGCAGGAGCATTTCAACTTAGAGCACAATCTTACCTCTTATCTAATGCTACACTGACTGCACCGTTTTAGTCTGTGTACTCAGCTAAATTGGTCTCATCATCATGTCAGCTGGGTTTTGGCCTACATTTATTTTAATGTGAAATAAAACCTTGGTCTGTTTGAAAAAATGGAAATAAGACAAAAATAAAGAGAGGTCTCTCCATTAAGCTAAACAGTCTTAGCCCTGTGAATGTTAATTAGCATTTCTCCTGCTCAGGGGAAATCATAACTGCTGGACAAGCAAGGCTCCCTGAGCTAACAGCTTCTTATAATCAGACTTAAAGTTCTGAAGTTGAACTGTGCCGGTTTCCCTGATAGGCTTTCATCCTCTGTTCTATTTTTGATCTTTTTGAAACCCAAAACTTAGAGTGGGAAAATCACAGGAAGACCTACATATTTTACAGCAGTTATATCAAAGCCATTGAACTTCTCTGAGAATGAGCACATCTCCAAAGAACAACTTGAGATTTCTTGTAGCCTGCAAGGGCAACTCGAGCATTTCTTTCCTTTCATTTTCAAATTATAAAAATGTCTAGTTTATAATCCAACACCGAAACTGAGAAACCAATATAAAAAATCAAGCAAGAACAGGACTTAATTTGCAGTATGACAGTCATTGGTAAGTATCAATCCTTTAATGGCACAGCTTTAAAGAAGAGAAGCCATGCCAGGTCCAGTTTTGTCGGAGAGAAAATACGCAATTGGCTGCGGGTCAAATAAAAATAGAATCTGAGCAGAGGCAATTACCCCTCAGCAGTGAACTAGGAAAAGAGAGAGTATGTCATTCGTGGCAGAAGACAGCTGTATGCCTCTGAGAAGATTAGAGCTGACAGTACAATGTACACTAACTATATTCTGCTTATTTAGTCTTCGATTATGCATGATCTTAAAAGCCCACACATTAAACATATCAATATCTGTTTTGACACATATACCTTGTTTAACATAAGGTGCACCCATAAAAGAGCATCGGTGAAATGATTTTTCTTAAGTATTTTATTTTACCAAATCTGAATAAAGCAGACACTGCCCAGAGGAAAGTTAAATTCCAGAAACAAGGTTCTTGCGTTCTGAGCAAACTTGTACAGATCCTGATTATGTGATATAACATTATGCAAGTGGAATTTGGCACCCAGAGGATACAAAACAGACTTGCATTAAATAAATGTATGAGGTAACCTCTGGGGGTTCACAGTGACACTGATGGACTGAATACAATCAGTATTTCTGCACAGTAATGCCCAGAAACCCCAATTGTCTCTAAGTTCCCAATCTGTCATACAGATAGGCCTGATTCCTTCCTTGACAGGAAATCTAAGAAAAAATTTAATCAAGAAAATTTTCAGTATATATAATTCAGGATTTTGTAATTGCTCTTTTTATTCCAATCTGTTCTCTAATAGTAACAGACAAAGAAATTTAACTACCAGCCTTACAGCCTGTAGGACCACTGGGCCACAGAGAGCATCAGTGCCTGGGGCTCACGGTGTGCAGGTGAGAGTGGAACATCCAGGGGCAGTGACTGAATGATCAGGGCTTCTCTCTGCTTCAGAAAGCTCATCTCTGAAAACACTGAAGCAACCCTAAGGAAAAGGTTCAGGCCTCCTAAGTTTCAGTACGACAGTCACGGCCATATTAAACAGCCCCAGTCACTTCACCTTTGGTTTGACTGTGATGGTTATTGTTCTTAACATTTATATCATGTATGAACACAGGCAATGACAGAGTCACTGCAAAATTCATAATCTAAAAGAACAGGCCAAAGAAGAGGGATAAATATTAGACATGCAAGTAAATGACCCTGGTGATCTGCATAACTCTTCAAAAAAAAAGGGTTTTCTGAGAAAGTCTTTGGTCTGGGAACTACTCCAAAAATTCACATGGTGGTCTGAATAACTAAAAAAACTGCTCCAGCATTTTGTCAAAGTAGTTCTCTTTTATATTTTCAGTATTTCTTATTCTTACTCAGATGTTAGAGCAATACTACAGCAACACCTGCCTTCATTAAGTCTTTGTTCTTATGTGCCTATCCAGAGTTGTAAAGGTGTGCAACAATGAAAAACTATTGTTTTGATTCAAAATAAATGTCTCAACAATCTCTGCTTATAAATACTATTAAGGTCATTTACCCAAAAAGCAGGAAAAAAGATTGTTCATAAGCAACCAGACACTGAAGTACAGATTTATCTGACCTAGTATTTAAAATCAATTAGATATATTAATTAAATACTACACTTGCACTGTATGAGTCTCACAGGTTTACAGGGAAATATTCCCCACAGACACTTGACAAAAATACCCTGGAGCATTTTCACAGGTCAAACTGAGTGTGAACTGAGACCTTTCTTTGTAACATTTTCAGTATTAATACAACTATTCCACAGTCAGAAAGAAATTACTGGTTTGCTTTTGCAGCAATCTAAATGCACTAGGACAAGATTAATAGTATTTGAAGAAAAAAATCCCTACAATATAAAAGAAAACATTTTAGTGCATTATATGGAGGGTACATTTTTGAAGGGTTGTAAATGTGGGAATAACCAATTTTAATCTCCTTAAAAGAGGGATTGCATATGAGTAGACTTTTTAAAGTGTGACTCCTGCTAGTTATTAGGAATCTGAACTCTTCTGCTCTATCACCTTCTTCAAGTAAAAGCTCCTCGATACTGATAATAACGAATTGAAGAATTAAAAAATATATTAAATCCATTCGAGAGTATTATCAAAGTGGCCATAGTCATAATATGCATTCAACTGTTAACACATACAAACTATTTATATACTTACTTATCTATTTATAATGAAGAAAAGACATGATAAAAAGAAAAGACAGTGTGGAACTAATGTGAGAAAGTCATTCCGTGGGGAGGCAGAGCCATGTAATGGACAGGAGGCTGAGGCAGAACAGGTGACTGGCAGCAAGAATGTGAGAGGAATTAGAGGAAGCACAGCAAGAAGTCTTAGTAGTGAGAACAAGCCAAAAAATAGCAGTGCAAGAATCTTTTGTCTCAAGCTCTGTCTGGAAATTATAGTGGCTTTCTTGCCTCTTAGTATGGTCTCTCCTTGGGGAGGACTTACCATTTTAATGCTAAAACTCAGTTCTCCTGTGCTTCCTTACTTGCTACGTGTTTTGAAAGTCACAGTGTGTCACCTCACGTTTTCTGTCTTGTAGGACCAATATTTATGTAGTTTGTAAGAGTGTTCTTGGTCCTGGACTGAAGGAAATTAAACATGGACCTATTCCAAAGGCCACTCATGTCAATGGGAAAATTTCCATCTCTGTTTGTGTACTTTAGATCAAACTTCATATCCTGAAAACATGAAAAACTAACAGCAGCAAAAATATCCTCCTCTTAGTGCTCTAAAGCAACATTGGGAGAATGTCACAAAGCACTAATACATTTTCAATTTTCTAATTGCCATTTTGACAATCTTTACATAAATTAAGGCACGTTTCAACAAGGCATCAGGAATTACTCCATGAAACCTTCAACTCCATAAAGCACCATGAAAAAATATAAATATTTCATACAGAAACTTTGTGCAATTTTTCAACACACGGTTTTTTTAAGTAAAAAATTTCTCCTTTGTTAACTTGAATTCTGCCACAGTACTGGAATGGCAATTTTTTACTTGGAAACACACAGAATAACACCCATACAGATGTGTTTGTTGCACTTTTCTATTACTACAAATAAATCAGCTGTCCCTACCCCCAAAAATATTAAAGAAATTATTGTTAAGTTATTAAGGAAAATGAAAGAAAAAAACATAATGCAAATCAAATATACTCCAAACATGGCTGTTTTAGAGATAACCCAATGAAATATAGCAGAATGCAGAAAGCAAAGCCTGTAGAAACTGGGCATATTATGGAAAGAAAAAAAATCAGTCACCCGTGCAAAATTACCCCTATTGGCCATCTGAGAACTGACAATGAAGTCAACTGTAAAGGCAGCTGAGACCAGCAGACTTCACCTAATTAAAATATTTGGAGGAGGGAGAAAAAAATAATCAATGTATGTATATGCATATGCAGATATTTGACAAAAAGCCACTACTTCAGATTTAGTAATCATTTAGAGACATATAGATCTTGGCTGCCCACTTCACTAAAGCCATGATAAATTTAGTTGCTCTGTATCTGCACACTTGTTTCAGTACACACAGATGGATTAAACCTGGAAATGTGTCTTTCTGAACTGAGTAGCAAGTAAATACCTCTTATTAAAAAAAAAAAAAGAGAGAAAATGCAGATTAAAAAAATCTTGTGAATTACTTTTTATCTGACCTTCAACAGCCAGGAAAATACTTATGCTTATTCCTAACCTAGATCCATATGTCACCCTTTCTCATTGAATGTATGGGTCAAAAGTGAACTTGAACAATGCTGTCAATATTATTAAATTAATGTGACAGACTTTAATAACTGTTTTTCAGAGCAGTGGAACTATTTTTTTATTGGTTTCTTCATGTTTCTTTCATGAATATGCTAAAGAAGGTTGTGCAATGACACTGCCATGATACTCAGACTATCTCTGCCAGAAAAGTAAAACTGCAGGGGGATCAGAGCACAAACAGAGCTCCCTCTCTTTCCCTGTCCCTGATTCAGTACACAGAGCTTGGTTACTTGTGATTGAGCTTCACTGCTCTTCAGCCAGGAACACCACTGGAAAATGCTGACAAAAGGGAACCGTGTTGCTCATTAGCATATTTACAGGAGTACAAAACATTCACAGCTCTAATTCCATTTCCTTGGTTCTGTCAGCAGCCCTCAGTGTAGGAACAGGTACATCAGTTGGTATCTCAGCAAGTTCCCAAACACTTGTGTTGGGCTCTTGTTCCAGCTCCAGTTTCCTGCTCTCTGAAAGGTTCAGCTGTGCTTTAAGGCAACAGAAACGTTTTGTGTTCTCCTGGCTGGGATATGTAGGTTACCAATCAGTGTTGAGGCTGCTCCTTCTATTGCTTTTGAAATCTGCTTTGGGAATTGAAGATTCCCAAGGGATATAATATTTTGCCAGTGCTACTGGTAACAGAGAACCCAGAAGAAGACAAGGTAACTATACTGAAGCTTTATTTACTGATGTCATAGCAATTGCTATAAACACTAAAGCTGGAAATAAATTCAAATTCTACAAGCTTCTTCACCTACAATAACCAGCTTTAGAAGGTACAACATTTGCATTTAAAATTCTGGGAACCAATGCAGTATTTAGGTCTCCTTATAAAGGAAAAGTAGGCTGCAAGATCTCATTTAGAAGCACAACTTACAGAGAATAAGGCTCATAAGACTGTGGCTTTCACTATTCTTTAAAAAAAAATTGGGCTTCAAAGAAGAAACTGGAGGCACTGGAGGAGAGCCAAAAAAGTCATACTCAAATATGGAATATATTAAAAAAAGCTGGATCTCTTACAGAACAAAAAATTATCCCTCTGGGGTTTTTTTGTTTTGGTGGGTTTTGTTGTTTTGGGTTTTTTTCAAGCATTAAAGCACTTTCAAGCATTATCAGTGCTTTGCACTGATAAACCTATCTAAACAGTTGGTATAAGGATGTTTCCCATCAAAATTTGACCAGCACTTTTTAGCATATTATCTCTTGTATATTCTTAATCCTGTTGAAAAATTGAAAACTCCTCTAAAAATAGAATTGGAGATGACAATAATCAGTTATATTTTAAGTGTGATATTTGGAAGGATATAATTATAAACTATTTAGGACATGTCCAGAAGGACATAATAATAGATTCTCTCATTTTTATTTGTATTTAATACTGCAGTCTTTCACTTTGCTCTAATAATGCTTTCTTCATAAGCAGTATTTGTTTAATCTGTAATTTTAAGGGTAGTCCACAAGAAGTTCCTATTTAATAATAATTTTAATAATTATTATTTTAAGAGCCTGCTTGTTTAGAGGATTTAAGACCAAGTGTATCAACTTAAGTAGGACTTTGACACTTCAGTGTCCTTGTGGAGCTGTCACTACATTATTTAGGAGCACCAGTACTAACAGAAGCTATGAGTCATTCAGGCTGTGATTCCACAGTGTATTTCTCTTGTTGGCAAAGCTGACTTAAGCAATTCCTGCCACCACCTCTACATCTTAGCAGCTCATTTGTTCTCTTCACCTTGCCCCGAGCCCTTCATTTTAATCCTTTGTTTGTGCCAATATACAGGTTTGTCACTCTCCAAGGTGAAGCAGATTGGAGAAATTATCTGTGTTTCAAATAGCTATACAAACCCTCCTCACACATTTTGGCAGAGAGATTCCTAACTCAGAGTAAGTCCCTGATCAGAATAACCAAGCACCCCACCAAACAGACAAGGTGATATCAGGTTGCCTACAAGCAGGTTGGGATGAAGAACAGGAGAGAGCAGGGAACCATTTCAGTCAGCTTTACTTCCAAGAGAAACGTTTGTAAAACTGTGACCTTGGGCATCTTAGGGACAAATATCCATCCTCACATATCGGGGTGTCCAAACTGCCTTACTAAGGGACAGCTCTTCAGGATGCTTAAGAAATGAGTATGACAACCTCGCTGCAGTTCATGGTCACCTTCCAAAGGACAGAATTCACTGCCTTAAATGGGAACCTTGTTGCCAAGAACTTGTTGCCTTGTTGGACAAGGAGACAGATGTGTTCCACCAGTGGTAGGTTCCAACAACAGCAGGTGGTATCTGAAGGTATGGGGGTTGAGATGAAATGGGTCATTCTGCAAAGGTGTTCATCTCTTACTGCAGAAACTTCCTACACGAGTCTGACACGTGACCACCTCTCAGGTAGTCAAATGTAACCATTTTGACACAATCTCCAGCTTGGCCCCAAAGACAGATCTCTATGTTTTAAATTACTACCAATATAGACTTCAATTAAGTTTAAAATCTGAGCTCTGTAATTTTCATATTCTCTCACTGTGGACTATGACTTTACTTTTCTCACACAGCAGCTATATTTTAAAACTACATGCAGTCTCAAGTACAGTTACATTTCTTTCAAAACCACTATGCAGCTTGGTTCTACAGGAATAAATGACTGAGGCTGCCAAAACAAGTGTTCATTTCTCAGACACAAAGTCATAAATGTCTGCAGAAATGCATCCTGACACCAAGGATTATTACACTTATTTTTAAAACAGCTGCCTACAGCTAAAGGAATAATTTCTTGATAATATCCTCAAAGATTTCCACAGTAGGAAGCCGTGATGAAAACACTGCTTTGCTCATTAGTACAAAGATATCCATACTACTAGACTGTTCAAATGTCCTGCACTCTACAATTAAAATGTCTAGGAATTCTAAACCAATTTCTCTGTGAACAATTCTGGTACAAAATACCTTGTAAGTCATACATGAGCAAGTTAGAAAGCATCACATAGTTCTGTGTTGCACACAGTAAAGGGTATTTTGAGGGCACAGTTGCAACAGGTTGAAGCTCTATTACTTTTTTGGAATGGCAGGGGTAAAAGGAGAAAAGGTTACTCTGAGTACTGCAATAACTTACTGGTCCTTAAGCCAGTCCTTAACAAAAGGAATGGAAAAGAATTCTGTGAATGGCTCATCTTTCCTCTTTGGGTTCATGCTAAAACAAAAAGGAAAACAACTCATATTAATTTAAATTTCAGCTATTCGATTTGAAAATTAATGCCTTTGAATTATTGAGTATAATTAATAGTAAAAACCATTATTAACTTACTTGTATAACCACTCAGTTAGGAAATCAGAGGCAATAAATTTGGTTCTTCTTCCCTAAAGATAGAAGATAGTTTCAAATTATTTATTATCTTTGGATTGGTCATATGTTTTTACTACTGGAGAGGAACAGAAGCTAAATTGACTGCTTTTATTAAATAAAATATACAGTCCATTACTCTGTCTACTTTAATATTGCTACTGCCAACAGTCAGTGGCTCTGCCAAAATTTTAGACGTTTTGTGGAATGCTTTCAAGTCAAGACAAACTATGAGTGAGAAAATTCTACATATATTATCTTGATATTTGCTGCAGTATATCTAGAACAAATATCTCTGAATGGTGTTCTTTCTAAGTGGTTTTCTCATTATGAGGAAGTTAACAGAACTCATTCATATATGAAAATATGTTGTCAATTACTTGCCATTTTGCTCAAAGTTCTATTATCATACTTAAAATTCTTCATATCCTCCAAGACACAGAAGGAACATTGATTGGATATTGTTTCCTCCTGCATGGAATCAGCTTGAAGGCATTGTGAATACTCAACACACACACAAACGGGGTATTGTATGGCTGCTCAGACAAAAATCATGTCAAGTGGTCCAGAAAGGAAGGCAAAACCAAAGGAAGGGATATGTCTATCCACAACCACAGATACCATGAACACTACAGAGAATCAGGTAAAATATTCAAAACCTGGAGCTTCAGAGCAAAACATTTGTGCCCTTTGCTCCCAGTTCTAAATCTCCACCAAAAGAAAAGAGAATTTTGCAAAATGCTTTGCAGCAGGTTCTCCTTGGGGACTCATGTTCAGCTGGACAGCCAGCCATTCAAAGCATGAATTTTGGTAAATACACAATGGATTAGGACCCTCCTTTTCTTAAGGATTTCCTCTCCTGAAATGAATGTATAAATGAGTACAGACTGAATGTATAAATGAGTACAGGAGCTCATTCTGTTTGTCACAAACCAGAGGAACCACGATGTGGAGAATATAATGTAGACTTCTGGTTGGAATAACAGGAGAGCTTGACTGGTATCTCTGGAATGGCTCTTGCACCAGCTGTGTTATGGATGTGCAGTCACTGAGTGAACACTAAGAGAATTCAGCCCCTGCAGACCAGAGACACCAAGGGCTTTATCTTAGTAGCAGCCCCTGAGCTTAGAGAAGGCTGAGCTCCCATCCAGAAGGTAACACTTACCCTGCCAAACAGGAGATTCAACTGCAATTACGACTTCTTAGAACTATTCACACTGGTTAAACACATTTGTGAAATTACTAAATGTCACAAAAGAGGCTGCAGTCTTGACTAAAATGTAAGAAATAAAGATACTACTACTACTTGCTAAGAAAAATACAGTAAACATGTAATTTAATGCATGAAGAATGACTTTATTCTACGCATTATCCTCACCATCTGTGTTTCCCCCTGTGCTTCAAGAATAGGATGGAAAGAGGACTGGGGAATGTGAACAGAGAGGCAAGAAAAAAGCACTCTACATAGAATAACTCTTTCAGTTCAGGTTTTTGTCATAATTTGGGGGTCAGCCACAGGTGAAGTGGAAGAAGAACATTCCATGAGGTGCTGACAGTGCAGTGAGGAATGAATACAGGGCAGTCATGAAGCTGGGAATGACAAGTGGGGAGTTTAGAGCCAGACTGCAGGGCATTCCCTCATGATACCCAGGAAAGCTTTTACTTTTCTAAGTGTATCTCACCCTTGGTAGACACACAGCCTGACTCCCATAGAAAAGAAAGAAACCTTCACTGCAGAGCTTTCTATGGGTCACTTTAGATGTTAAATGGACAAATTTGGACTTGAACAGAATCTATAAACAAATAGCACAGTCTGACCATCACTGTACAGATATTCTCAATCAGAGTATGAAATTGGGTCCCATTACTTAGTGAATTGTTTCAGAGAATAAATGCTACACTTTGACAACGAAATTCAATTTAATCTAGCAGTTGTAATTTAATCTGTTTTAAGTAAATTGCTTTTCCTTTGCAATGGCAAAAAATGATCAGAACAGGCTTGTCAAAACAGCCATCACCAAAGGAATCAAATTCATCTTGTTTTATCCTTGTTAGAGGCAGTGAACTTATCAGGGAGGAATTCAGTCAAGCTCAATATTTTTTTATTTTGTTATTTTTTTGCCAGGAAACAGTTTATTTTGCTAGCGAATTAAATCATTAGTTGCACAGCAGTCAACATTTATAAAGGGAAAAAATTACATAAATTGACCTCCCTTTGACACATTCCTCCTATGTGCTGCATGAATCAGGATAAACACAGGAAATATCTGCACAATGTGCATTGTTAACCTGCAGATGTGTTTATAAACTACTTATATTAGGAATTCATTTTCCACTTTTCAGTTTAAATGTTATGGACTTGGTAATAATCATGAAAAAATACTAGTGATCAGAAGATGGCAAAGTCATTAGGAAACCTTTTTCCATTCCCTTTCCCTGATGTATCACACTTTAAAATATAATATATTCCATTACAGAGTCTGATACAGCATCCTCCTTCAGTAGGATAGCTTACTAAAAAGTCAGTTATGCTAATAAAAACATTTATACATTGTTCAGTTTTAATGCTGGAAAATGAATGCATTAGTCAGTTCTCATGAGAGAAAAGATTTAAGAAAATAGTCTTTCCCCTGGAGGCATTTGACAGCAGAGAGGATAAAGCACAGGAGAACTTATGGTAGGAAAAAAAGAAATCAGTGAGGGAATACACTGGGCAACCTAACAGGTTTCTTTCATCTCTACTTTAAGAATGAAGTTTCTGCAGACTATTCTCATATTTCTGGCAGTTTGAAGTCTGCACATCTATCTAGCAGCTGGTGGGTTTTCTAGGTTTTTGCTTTTCAGATTTTTCACATGCATTACATAATGCAAGAGAGCCTATTTTAAATGAACTATTCAAATTGTTATGTTTCTATATCACCTTCCAAAGAAGATGTTGCAGATTTCTTTCCTACACAGATCACTACTTCCAGCAGAACTGTCTCCCTTTCCTGACTTTGCCATGCAATTACAATTCTTCCTCTCCAGACATGATGCATCTTTTCTGGTCTCTTCCTTGAACTCCTCTGTTGGTTCCATGATCTGACCTCACTTACCACAGTTTCAATTACTCAACAACTCTCCTACTTAATTTTTCATTCTCTTCTCATTAATTTCCTTTCAAAACATGAAAACTTTCAGTCCTTCTCATCAAAATCCCACTCTTCATTCTCCCTCACAATTTCCTCTCTCTTCTCCCAGGCTCATTCAATGTTGACTGCAGTCAGTTTGATTATTCCTCCCTTTCTTCCAGTGCTTCTTCCATTAATCTTGCAATGGTTTATTCTGTACAACTGCCCTTTACAGGCTTTAATGACTCATGTCTAGCCAAAATTCAAACCCAGTATTCTCATCCTTCATGATTTCAGTCAGCTTAATCACAATTAATCTTGTTGCTCTCCCATTCTCTCACAAATTGCACATATCTTTCAAATGTTTGTTCTCCTGTTTTTTGAAGCTATTTTCCAGTGTGTTTATCACAAGATCCTTTCTCCCTGTTTCTGCTTTGCTCTGGTTTTCTAAGGACTCTGGTTTTGATCCTAAAAATCAGTTCAAGTTATTTCATGAACTATTTTGATACAAATTATAGCATGGGGCTTTTTTTCTCCAATTCCACATGGATAAATACATTCCTTATGAAACAAAAATATAAATAGATGTCACGTATTTAGGTCAGATAAGGAAACAGAATGTCCAAGTACAAGCACCTGGACAGCAATGGAAAAGAACACAAATATTCAGTTATATGGCAAGCATAAAGAGCTATTGTTTTACCAGTTATTGTTCAAAAGGAGGAAGAAATGATGTCACAGTGGAAAACTATCATTCCACATAAGCTTCCTTTCCCTAAACTTGGTTCCCCAATATCAGAGCATCTCTTCAGATACGTATCTTTTCTATAAGCTATACACATTTTTATGAAGATTCTATACATTAGAAAGTAATTGCCTTTATTAGTTTGCTGTAAAGCAACACACAGACCCATACAAAGTCCATTTTCAGAACACATACTTGCTAACATACACACCACTACAAAACTTCTCAGATTAAAAACAGACAAAGAAACCTTAGATTTGTTTCGAGTTTGAAATATTTCTAAGAATTTTAATATTTTTGTATTAAGTGATGGTTTATTGCCTCCAGAAATAGGTAACATCTATCAAGGACTGTATTTTAAATCAGTTGCAGGACATGTCTTTTTCCTGTTAAAGGATACATGCTTCCTTTAAAAAAAAAGCAATCAATACAGATTTCATTAAAAGTGTGATGTAATGTATATGGTCAACTTGTTCTTGGCCAGGTAATGTAAATGTGGTAGCAGGAATGATAGACAGAGATGTCATGTAAATGAACCATTTTCCTAATTCACCTGTGTTAATCAGAGATTATAAATGCATATACACACACCTGTAAATCAGTTTATAGACACACACAGATTTTGAGGAAACGAAGGAAACTCTGAAATAACTGTTACTAAATGTACAGTTTTGGATTTGAAATTCAAGTAGCCATGGTTGGAGAAAAAAGCAGAAATTATGGAAGACCCCACAACTCCCAGTGCCTAAGCTGTTGCTCAGGGCCTGTGAGTCAGGCTGTGGTGACACAATGAGCTTTATTTTGCACCAGTTCTAGTGGGGTTTTAAGCATTGCCAATATACTACCAGGAATGTCTCTCTAGATATGCCTACAGACACATATACTGAAAACAAATTTATAAAAATATAGGTAGCAAACAATTATTTTTTAAATGTACATTTTTATAAGCTCATTAATGCTGAATACCCTGTTTTCCAATTAAATGGAACTTACACAGAATGTTAAAAAGCTAAAATAGAAAATTTATCTCTATTAAGATGCCGGGCCAGCAAAAATAATTGAACCATGAAGTATGAATCAAGTTCTGTACATCACCCTCAAATGAGTGATGTGTATGAACCTGAGAGGAAGCCTGTTTCTCTAAAATATAACATTTTTTAAGCTAGATACAAATGGATATCTAAGGAGGATTTGTTGGGAGCTAGAGATCATCATAATGATCAAGTGTATGTAGTATGCAATCTGTTCTGAATTACTGGAGAAAACAACATTTAAAACTAGGTCCAAAATAACTTATTATATGTTATATCATATAATTGTGGTTGGTTTTCTTGCAAAAGACCAAATTTTAAAAATGCTTCCCATGAAATAAAGGCTGTAACTTCCTGCCAGTGATTTGAACCAAAAACTACAAACTAACCTCAAAACATTTTTCTTTCTCTGCTTCATGCAGAAGTTCAGTCAGTCCAGGTAAGAGTACTGGAAATATGTAGAACTCTAAGTATTCTCGTGGAGAACCTGAGAAAAAACAGGACAGACTTCACTTACAGGTAAGCACTTCAATTTCACAAAAAGACAAATATTAGAAATCATAAACTCAGTACCAGTCATTTTATCAATACCATCACAGCTTGCACTAAACAGATTTGTTCAGCTCAGATACAGCCACTGATGTGTCTTCGCTTCTCTTCAGTCAAGACAACATAAACTTGAGCAAATTTCAAACTAAAGATGCACCAACAGTGCAGACTCAGGGTGCCTCAGAGATGTCAGACATAGTTTTAAAGGAGTAAACTCAGACACTAGAAGCAGTTTAGTCACAGAAATGAAAAGCCATGTGGACTAATTTGCCCTGACAGGAAGAAGTTAACCTGTGCTGAACTCAGTGCTGTTACAGCCAGATCACTTTTGGTACCTCATGCCCTTTACAATCTGCATTATCAGAGTCACTCATAAAACTGAATTTTTAGACAGAGGAAAAAACAAAGGTTATATTTCAGTGGTGCTGTGATTTCTTTGTCATAATTACTTCTTACTTGCCACATGCTTCAGAAATTTCAGTGTGACTCCATATATCCAATTTTTCCCCTTTCTGAGGGCTGCCTGGATTGGCATCTCTCTCCATTCACAAATTATTCAGGTTTTGGTGTGGTCAGGAAAGATAAGTCACAGAAAGGTTCTCTTCTGGAAACACAGCTGAAATACTGAATGTATTCTCAGCTTTATATCTTTAATTGGTTTATATACTGCCAGAAAATGTTCATAATTGGAAGGACACTATTTATTTAAAAGCCCAGGGTAACACTGCTTCTGACTAGCACCAGGAATTCCTAATGAGCAAGAATGAATGGAAGAGAAGATGAAATGGAGGGCTAAAATGCATAATAAAGACACACTGCTGCTTGGTAACTTTTATAAACTATAGAAATTGATAAAAGTGGAAGAACAAAACTCTAGAGCTGTTTCCATTCTCATTTGTAATCAGATGGGTAGAGTCATATTTTGACAGGAGTTTTCAAATTCAATTGTCTATTTAGTCTATTGATCCTAGTTTTGCATTACTAAATTAGAGGAAGAAATGCCTGCCTTTCTCTGATTTAAATGGCTAAACAGAAAGTCACTTATTCAGAAGAGCACAGACCTACCTCAGCCAGTCAGTGGTTCGTAATGAACCATTTGAAATTTCTGCCATTGCCCAAGTGCCCAGGTTGGCTCCCTGTTTACAGACCAGGGGCCTAAACATGCCAGTTCCATGTAAGAAAAGGTATTGAAGCTGTTAACACTCTCCATTAAACAAATTACACACCCTTGCCATACGCAAGAAAAATAATCACAACAGATAATATCAAGATAATATGCTCCTGCTTACATGTTTTTGGGTCAGGTGGTTCTGGAGAGGGGACTTCCTCGACTATGGGAAGCAACTGTTGGTCAACAGTATCAGCTGCAGGGGCAGAATTAAATTGTTCCATGTCTAATGGCTGCAATATTCCTGCTTCCAAAGGCACCTGTTTAAGATAAATGTAACCTATCTAAATACTTCAACAGACTATACAAAAATATGCAAACCAACTCAGCAGGAAAAATTATAAGGTCAATTAAAAATTGTGGAACTATAACTTCTTATTCAGATATTAAATTATGTATTTCCTGAGTGCTACACAAGTTGCTTTAAATAAAAGCAATTATTTGGACACTACATTTGTTGATTCAAAGAAGTTGTTTAAAAAATGTAGTTTTGTTTTCATTTTATGAATGAGTGTACCATGTGGATACCTAATTTTCACATTTAGTTATTTTAAATCTTTTAAAACCAGCCCTATGCAGACTTTTTTCTTGATGTGTACTCACAGATTCTTATTTTGATTCAGGAACATCTGGAAATTGAGGGTGTTCTTCTTCATACTCTAAAAGTAAAAAAAAAAAAGGTACATTTACCAGAAGAGTTTAATTTTAAAACATATTTATTTTCCTCCTAAATAAGTATTACTTTCTAAACCTACTTATTTGGGTTTGAAAGAACAAAAGTTAGTATACAATATATATTTGTTAAACATGAAATCTAATGTTTTAATACAAGTGAGAACTTTAGAGCCTCTTGTCTTGGCTGTAAGTCAAGTGCAAGGTTCTTGGTGATAAAAGAGCCCTTTAGAGGGGAAAAAAATTTTATCAAAATAATAATTTAAAATATTTCAACACAAGTAAAATGCAGACGCTTGGATGGAATTAACCATTGTTTTCAGTAGCAGACAATACTGCTTTTCACAGTGGATTCCTCTATAAGAAATTATGTCCCGTGGACATTGCTAAGTATTACTGTCTCCAATTTAAAAACAAACAAACAAAACCAAGCAAAACCAAAACAAAAACAAAAAAAGAAAACAAAACACACACCCCCAAAAAAACACCAAACACCACCAAAAAACCTAAAAGCAGTACATGACCCTCACAAATTACTGAGTGACTCAGGATAAGGAAGTAGATTTGATATGAAAAAATTTACAGATTACACAATACAGACCACTCAGAGCCAAACCTAAGAGGTTCACTGTTCCACCATTATAATTAAGTTTACTGGCATCACCAAATCCATGCGTACTACAGATGCCTTAGCTGACTTATATTAGAAAAAAAAACTTTATTCCCACATTTAAAACGTCTGCTTTAACACAAAATGCCTACTTTAGTAATTATAAAGCAGTGAGTGGAGAGAACCCTATTTGGGAAGTGCAGAACTACAGTGCTGCTCTCCTGACTTTCCAGTTTCAGTGCTCTCAGAGTTTAGCAAGCGACCAAGACTTTCACTGTTAGAACAGGGCTCTGAGAGCAGGAGTTTTGCGTTCTTTTAACTTTTACAACAGCGATAACACAGCCACCCTTCTGGTTCCCCAGGGCAATGCTCCAACCCCCTCACGGGTCCAGCCTCAGGGCGCGGGGCGCCGGTCACCGCCGGGAGAACCAGAGGCCGCGACCGGATCAACGGGCTGGACGCCGAGGGAACACACCCCGGGAACGCACCCCGGGCACACACCACGGGAACACACCCCGGGCACGCACCCCGGGAATACACCACGGGCACACACCCGGGAACACACCTCGGGCACACACCCCGGGCACACACCCCGGGCACGGGCACACACACACCCCGGGCACGCACCCCGGGAATACACCACGGGCACACACCACGGTAACACACCACGGGCACACACCCCGGGAACGCACCCCGGGAACGCACCCCGGGAACGCACCCCGGGAACGCACCACGGGAACGCACCACGGGAACGCACCACGGGCACGCACCACGGGCACACACCCCGGGAATACACCACGGGCACGCACCCCGGGAACGCACCCCGGGAACGCACCACGGGCACACACCCCGGGCACACACCACGGGCACACACCCCGGGCACACACCACGGGCACACACCCCGGGCACACACCACGGGCACACACCCCGGGCACACACCCCGGGCACACACCACGGGCACGTGGCCGCCAGAAAACCGTGGCGATAAAAAGCAACACAGCGCTCACGAGCGGAAAAGCTCGTGGCCCTGCCCTCAGGGGTGGGGGGTGAGGGGGGGGGGGGCTTTGGGGGAGCGCGGAGGGGGCCGGGGGGGGGGGACGGCTGAGGAGCCCCGGGGGGGCAGAGCCATGGCCTGATGGGCGCTGCGCTCCCACCTGTCCCCGTCCCAGAGCAGGACTCTGTCCCTCCGGGCCCTGTCTGTCCCTCCCGGCCCTGTCTGTCCCTCCTGGCTCTGTCTGTCCCTCCGAGCCCTGTCTGTCCCTCCCGGCCCTGTCTGTCCCTCCGGGCCCTGTCTGTCCCTCCGAGCCCTGTCTGTCCCTTCCGGCCCTGTCTGTCCCTCCGGGCCCTGTCTGTCCCTCCTGGCTCTGTCTGTCCCTCCGGGTCCCGTCTGTCCCTCCCGGCTCTGTCCCTCCCGTCGCCGCCAGGGCCGCGTCCCGCGCGTTGCCGCGGTAACGGCTCCGGCAGCGCGCGCGGGGCGGGGCGGGCCCGGCGCGTTCCCTTCCGGGGCGGAGGGCGCTGCACGAGGCCGCGGCAGGTGAGGGCCGGCGGGGCCGCCCCGGGCACGGCCCGGCCGGGATGCGCCGCTCCCGGGGAGCCCCACGGGCAGGACGGGCGGGGACGGGGTCAGGAGCGGGGCGGGGCGCGGGGGGAACCCCCCTGGCCGCGGTGTGGGGGTGGGTCGGTGGGCGCAGGGGCTGCCGGGGCTGCCTAAGCCTTCTTTACCAGGCTTAGGTTTCCTGTAGAGGATTTTGACAGGATGCCTTGCAAGCGGCGCTTATAGAAGTCCCCATGGATTAATTTTTGATTAAAAGATGGGAAAACAAGTAGGGATAAACAGGTTTCTCAGCAAAGGCGGGGAGTGTCAGCAAGCGGGTGCCAGAGGCTTCTCTGGTGTGAGCTGTTGGTAGGTGCGAGTGTCCCGAGAGAGGAGACGGAGGGCAAGGATGAGAAATCGCAGACAGAAGCAGATTTAAGGTAATAACTCGGATGCCTTGAAAGGATCCTGTAGTGCTGAGTGGGCAGTAAAGTGATGTGAAGTTCAGTGTTAAATAAGTGAAAAGTCATAGGTATCTGGAAAACCATCTTGACTGTACATCTATGTATGTGTGTGTGTGTGTGTGTGTGTGTACATATATGTATGTATATGTTTAGGCATTTAGGAAAGATTTGTAGAGGGTAGGTATTACTGTAAAGATGTCATGCTCTGCAGCTGTCAAAAGGAAAAAACAAATAGAAAGTTACCAGCTGACTAGGACAAGTTACACTAAAGAACAAGACAAAAAATCATCCCAGCAGACAGTATTTTCTGGGCTCTGTGCAGTTCTGTTTCCCCCATAACGGAAAGCAGACTGAAATTAGAGTGGCAGGGACAGTGGGAGATATGAATAATTTCAGAATAAAGGGAAGCCAAATAGAGGAGGGCTTGTATCATCTCTCTGAAGCAGTTTACTGACATCTTCGTTTCATTTTTTTAGAATGATAATAAAGAAAAAGAGAAAAGAATTGCACGAGGAACCTGTACAGAAGAAGAAAAATGTGAAGACTGTCATTAAAATTGAGGAAGATGTTCCAACTGTCATTAAAATCGAGGAAGATGATAGGCTTGAGACAAAAATAAGGAAAAAGGTAAATTTTAAAGATGAATGTTTAGACCAATCACAACCAAAGAACAAGAAGAAGAAAAACAAGAAAAAGAAAGTCAGCTCCAAACTACTAAAAGAAGCACAGTCAGAAAGCCTTGAGATTGTGAAAGGTCACCTGGATTCAGAACTTCAAGAGGAATCAGAGGAACAAATTAAAATTCTCAAAAAGAAGAAAAAAAAAGTCCCATGTCATTCATCCTTAGAGGAGGATAATGGGAGTAGTGGCATGGAGCTTTCAAATTATCCTACAGATGATATTAAGAAAACTGAATTTTCTTTAAAAAAAAACAAAAAGGATGCTGCTTTGAATTTGGAACTGGATGGTAAGGTAACAAAGAAAAAAAAGAAGAAAGGCAGTTCTTTTTCATTAGAGGACATCCAGGACAGTGAACAAAAGCAGTCTGAAAGAGTTTGTAAAAAGCCCCACAAATGCATTTCACAAGAAGTAGCTTTTACAGCTGAAAACCATGACACACATAATGTCCAGAATGATGGGGAGAGTTGTGTGACAAAAAAGAAGAGGAAGAAGAAGGATAAGTCTGAGTCCTTTTTACCACTAGTAGATAATAAGGACAACATATCTGGAGTTCCTGGTAGGCCCATTGCATTGAGTGACTTCAGAAAAAGGAAGAAGCAGAATTCCTGGGAAATTACATTGACAAATAGAGAGGAAGAGGACACTGGGAGTATCAAAGAGACTAAGAAGAACAAGAACAGAAGCAAATGTGTTTCTTCCTCAACATGTGAAGATCAGCTAGACTGCAATCACAGCATTCCTGATAAGTATCTCCCAGCACAGCAAGAAGTTGACTGTGAGGAAGAAAAGCTGTCTGGAAAAAAGAACAGGAAGAATTTCAAGGGTAGTAATGAAGTCACCAAGAAGAAAAAGAAAAAAAAGATTCACAAAGAGGAGGAGGAAACAACATATTCAAAAGTTGCTTTAAACAATGATAGTGCCTCTAAAAACCAAAAAATAAGACTACCAGAAAGAAATAAAAAGAACAAAGGGGGTGAAATGGAGCGAGCTGAGTGTGTAGCAGGGAATGCTGTAGATGGGGCATTATGCAGTAGTAATCACATGCTCTGTGACAGGAAAGGGAAAAAAAGAAAAAAAGTCCCACCACAGGACTTGGCTGAACAACCAGGTTCAGAAGCAGATACAAAAAAGATGAAGATCATTACAGAAGGCACAGGGAATGAGTCACTGGTAAGTTGTAAAGAGGAGGGCAGCCTTGCCCCCTCCTCCTAAGGAATCAAAAGCTTTTGAGGTACAGTTCCCTACTTTGCAGGCTGTTCTGCCTGATCAGAATATTTGAAGTCAGTAAGGACCCCCACTATTCAGAAACAGGATTAGCTGATGTATTGATTTTAGCATATTGATTTTAGTTGTGACACGTGGGAAAGTATAATTTAATGCCTGGTGCTGTAATCATGTACTGGTTCAGTCGTGAAAGTGTAAATACTACAACTAACAGCAAGTGTTGGCACAAAAAGAAAATGAGTGTGTGAAGTCATAAATGTTCTTCTTCAGTTGCTCTTCACAAAGTGGCAACACTCCTATAAAATAGGATTTTAGTACCACATCCTTTACCCTGAGCAGGTTGGTAACACTGGCAGCATCAGTGCATCTCACTGTGTTCTTTAGACTTTTCCTCAGGCTTTGCTGCTGTTAATGCTGGAATTACATAGTGTTACAAACAAGGGGAAAATTTAGCCAAAGCCTGTTGTCTAACTTGGAGAAAACTTTAGAGAAAATCCTAATGCTAAATGTAGACAAGGCCTAGAGAATTGATGTATAAATTCTGATAGAAAACTAGAGACCTGAAGATGCATTTTTACTTAAAAGAATAAACCTTTGCAAGAAAATAAATAGATGTACAAGCAGTACATTGTAAGTAATCAGGAGCTTGTTTTTATATTTGTAGGTAATGGGAGACAGCATTCAGTTGTTTTTTATGAAAAACTCTGAATGGTTGGCTTGTTGAAATGCAAGCACTGGTTAATAAGGTATCAGTGAAGATTTTTGTAAACTAAAGATGGAGCAGGCTCACAGCATGAGCTGCCTCCAGCACATTCGTGGTGTGCTTTGCTTTGGTGTGCACTTATGTGCAGTGTCTTCAAGTTCTGTGGAAACCTGGCAGCTGCCTGGTGCCTAATGCTAATAATTAAATATAGATTTATGTGAAGAACCAGATACAGGCATTTTTCACAAGGGTTTGTGAGGCAAATGTGTGCTTATCAGTCATGAGGTGAGCAGATGTTTTGGGCTTTTAGCTTCGGTTTCTCCTTTTGACCTTTCAAAGGACAAGGTGGTTTTATTGCTGGGATATATTTTCTAATGAAGTTGACATTGCCTTTTTGAGGCTGTTAGACATTATTTGGATTCTTGCAGCTGCTCACACTGTGCAGAGGCAAGATAAGCCTCACAATGACATGTAAACTTGCATGACCAGTTAAAATGAAAACCACAGCAAATACATTGCAAACGATTGAGGAGAAGGTGATACCTGTTTTATTTCTCATTCCCATATGCACCTCTGTCCTTTAATAATAAAAAATACTTAAGAGAAAGTCTCCTGAAGATTGAGAAGTCAGGGTTAATCAGTTCTAGCAAAATCTAGTTCCTGCCAGGCCTAAAGACACTGCACTGATAAATGGCTGATGATGTTGGTCTCACATTTATCTGTGCCATAGTCCTGAAACATCCCTGTCTAACATTGTGTCCATGCCTTGAAAAATCCTCTGTGAGGCTTGTGCAGCAAGCAAAAGAGTAAGTTTTAAAGACAATGTGGAGTGATACCCACTCAATATCAGTGATTGGTGTTTTTCCCACTGGATGCCATTACAGTCAATTTGTGCAGAGTGAAGAGGAGCAAGAAGTTGTTTGCCTGCAGGCAGCATAATCCTACCACGTGTGAAGGTGCTCCTTTTCCATGGAGTTGGGGGAAGCTTGGCAGACCTCTGTGGGATGGTTTTTTCCACTCAGTAGCCTTCAGCTGGTCAGCACCATGCTGGGAATTAGCAGGGATGGGGCTGCTCCCCCGTTCCTTGTCTGCCACTTGACCTTCCGGCTAAAAAAAAAAAAAATATGCTGCAGTTGTTTGCAGAATCCTGTCACAACAGTTTTCCTCCTTGTTTTAATAGATATAAAAAGACAGTACCAGGCCATCTAGAAGTAAACTGGGGGTTGGTTTTGGTTTCTTCTTTTCCTCCAAGAGCATGAGCTCCCCTTACTGCAGACGGTGTTCTCTCATTTTTTAATAGCGCGTGTATGGTACGTGCATGTGGTGAAATCAAAGGGAGCTTTGGAAAAAGAGATAAATCATTCAGGGCTTTTAATAAAACTGTAAACCCTCAAAAAAGTAACAGCAGGTTCTGCTGACAGAAGTATGTTACAAATCTTTTCCTTGTCTTCATTTCCCTGGCTGTTTCATGCTTGGATTATTATGTTAACTGTATCAATACATCTTCCCCTTGGCCACCTTTTCCAGGCTGGTCTAAAGCTTATGGCTCTAATTTACCACTACCCTGGACTTATTACTTATCCTGTTATACTGGGTGCCCAGAAATCTTATCCTAATTATAAATTTGGCAAAGAAAGGCTGAGGGCAATGATCTAGGAATGCCAGTCAGTGGGAGCAAAAGTTGCTGAGGGGCTGCACTCAGTGGAAGGGTGATCAGGACATGGTTGCCTGTGGACTCTGCTGCTGATTTACCTGCTCCCATCCGGCCCATCCCTTCCTTCTGGGGCTGCTCTGTGCCATCCCATCAGCTCCCTGTTCCTCACTCTCAAATGTGGAACTAATGTGCTGTTTGCTGCCATTGTGGGAGACACTTGATGTGTGTGTCCTGCCTCTCCCTGTGCTCTTTCCAGACTGGAAGCTCCTTGGGGACCATCATCCACAATTGAGCACAATGCAGCTGTCTCTTGATTGTTTCTTCTTTGTTTGTTTGTTTCAGAGAGACCTTTAATTATTTTATCTGCAATTTTTAAAATATTCTGACTTTTACTCTCTCTGTCCCTTACTTCAAGTATAAATTTAACTTTAACAAAACAGTTTAATTTGAAATTACTCTGCCTGCAAACGTTACTGTGTGTGCCAGTGATGTTGGCAGATCTAATTTAATGTGTGAACTTAAAAAAATCCTTTATCTTCTTGGTTAAAAAAAAAAATCTCTTTCTTGGGGAGAAGGTTTCTCCATAGAAATACACAGACTTAATTGGCATTTTCATCTTAGATCTGACTATTTCTTCTTGCCCCAGAATAGTCCTACTGATTGCTTAGTGTTTTAATTACTCTCATGGTAAGAGCTCTGTAAATTTTAATTAACCAGAATGGATAAAAATAACCATACAATCTTTTTTCCTGTTTTACAGGAACATCTAGATGGTGTAATTATTGTGCAGGAAAAAAAAGGAAACTGTGATGAAGTTAACATAGACAAGGTATGCTTTGGCTTAATTGTGTAAGATTGAAAGCAAGTCAGCATTTAATATATACATAGGAATTGATGCAAAAACCTGATTTGTTGCTTCCCTAAATAAAGGTCTGCTTAAAATGTACTTTACCTTCTGTGGGTTAAGTCCCAAATATACAGCTTTAGTCAATGTCAGAAGTTCTGAGTAGCTTATTAGGTTAAATACAGGTTTCCTTGCCTCTCTTCAGTGCTGGCAGTTTCAGCGTAGCTGTTGCCTGCAGTTAGAAAATCAGGCATATCTGTTACAGCAAAATATTCATTTAACATACCACTAGAAAAATCACAGTTCTCGTGTTGAATGTGGGAAAGGATCATGTGCAACTTTTTAATTATCCTTGCAAAACTCTGAAGATCACTAATTATTTTATACATCTCTTTTTTTTCCATTGTGAATTAGTTGTCATTTCACACACAGAAGATAGTGTTTTATGCTGCATGTGTCACTTTTTTGCACACTAGGTGAGGCGACAGGCTCTGCAAGAAGAAATCGATAGAGAATCTGGCAAAACAAAGGTTTTCAGTTCCAAAGTGGGACAGGTATGTATGAGCTTAGACCTGGATCTGGTGGAAATACTGGGTCCTAGAGCAAATTCCTGGTAAAAACACTGTGCTCTTTTCTCTATGTGGCTCAGGTATGTGGCTTGGCACAACAGTCTTCCTTCTGACTGCAGAGTTAAGGTCACGCTGTAGAACAAGTTGGTACAATGCCAAGAGAGTCTGAGAGCTGACAGTGAACTCCTTGGCATTGCAGTGTTCCAATTCCCATCATCAGTCCTCAAAAGCAACATTTTCTCTGGTTCCTCTGGAGAATGAGCCATGACAAATTGCTACAGAAGCATTTTCTGCTTACTGTGAAGTACAAATAATTCCAGGCTATGGATATAACAGTCACTGAAGTGTATCTTATTTCTTATCTGCAAGACTTTGCAGACATTCAGAAAGGGGCACATGTGGAAAGGTAAAGGGGGGTGACAACTGATAACACATGTGATATTTACAGTCAGTCCTCTCCTGGCATCCACATCTTTCCTCCACTTCTTTGAAAGATGATTCTTAATTCCTTGCCTTTGCATCCTGCTTAGCCTGCCTCCTGAGAGATTTACAGTCAGGTAGTGGAAACTGTTGCAGTAGTGTTTAGCAGGGTTAATAGGATTGAGGTGGAGAGAAAGCTTTGCTAGTAATCCGGGATTCTTAGTTGTTTTGCAAGACTGCCAGTGTGCCTAGAAAGCTGGAATATGCCTCAAACAAATGCCAGAAACAACTTCTGTAGATGCAACATAGTGGGAGGCAGCCTGTGATAGCTCTGCAACTGCAACTGTCTAATAGTGTCTGAAGTCATTGAGAAAAATGACATGCTTGGCAGGGGATCTCAGTTCCTTGGTGCTGATCTGTCTCTGTTTAGTAGCATGCAGAAGAATAGAAGCTGTGAAAACTAATTCATCAGCTCCACAAAGAGTGAGCTGGAAATGCTTCAGCAAAAGCTGTGTGTAGTGCCTGCCAGCAACTCACATAAAAAAATGTACAGAGTTTGACAAGCTGTGATTATATTTGCATCTGTGCAGATGCCTCCCATTCCAGAGGGAGGACTTATATTTATCTGCATGTGACTTAAGTGTATCTGTATGTGTATCTGCATCTGTGTCACAGACTGGGCTTAGACAGCAACTTGCCTTTGTACAAGGTAAAAATACTGAAGTATTAGGGGTAGCTCTCTTTTAATAGTAGGCGTTCTGGCCTGTGATTGTGGGTGATACTCCAGCCATGCATTTTTTTTAACTTAAAAAAGCCTGCTAGGGCTTGCCTGCAATATTGTGTAGCGTGCTGTGTGTCATGTTGGCTGTCTGCTGAGAATGACTGTTTCATGCAAGCTACAACTGTTCAGTTGGAAAGATTTCAGGTTGACATAAACACACCACTAAATTCACATTTTTTCCTTTGATGCAATCAGCTTAGTCTATTTAATTAATAATCAGACATTCTTCCATTTAGTTATCACCCCCAATTTTAAAGAAAAAATTGGGAGTAGCAATCCTGCTGAAAATATTTATAAATGACTGCGTAGCTATTCCTCGGGAGTCAAATAAAATCTGCAGATAATGAAGCCTGTTCTTAGGTAAGCCAGAAGTTCATGAGCTTTGCAAATCATATGATTTATCTTGGGTTATCCACAAACAGCTGAAATATCATTTTACCTGGACATTGGCTCTTCAGAAAGGAGCCAGAATCCTCAGACAAAGGAAAAATCCTGAAGGGGTGAACTAGTTCTAAAAATAGTGAAAGGCAAATACAGTGAATACAAAGAAAACAGGAAACTGCAAGGGAGGGGAGTCTTTAAGAGCACTAGGTTTAGTCCTGTTGGATAAGGGTTTTTGCACCCTTGCAATATTAGTTGTAATTAGTGGGAGGAGAATGCCAATGTTACTTAAAGCTTATGAGGCAGATTGAACACTGTCTCCAAAACTAACATAACAAAGCACTGCTGAAAACAACAGCTCCCAAACTAGGCAATGGGAAAATGAAGAGATAAACATACAAAGTGACAGCGAAAGAGGATTAAGTCTGACAGTTTTCTTAGAATAAGAGATGATGTCTGGCTCTTTGAGCTAGGTAAAGAGCAGGAGAAAAGCCAAGGTTCCTAAAGAGGGAGGAAAAGAGGATTCTCAAAGTGCATTAACCCCTCTCCAGGTTAAATGGCCTGCACTGCTAGTGAAGAGGCACTCACACAGAGTTAATGTCATTCTTTTACCACATCCTTTAAGAGGTGCTGCCCGTGGAGTAACTGCTCCTTCCCAGCTTTGTCACCCTGTCAGGTTTCTGTAGCTGGTTCTGTTCTCATGGTACACAGCCAGAAATTATCTTCCTTGCTCTTGTTATTACTTACATTTAGTGTTAACCTTGTACCTTCACAGGATACGAAGTTTGGACAGTGGAGTACAGCTGCTTTTAAAAGTTCTGAGGAAGAAATTAAGTTTTTCAGACTGATGGGTGGCTTTAAAAAGGGCTCTGGGCCTATCCAAAATCTCTCAGCAACTACAAACAAACCGAACATGGCTCTGAACAGGGAAGGGCAGGAGAAGTTACAGCAGGCTCTGAAGATGGAGTTTGATAAAGCAATGGACTTGAAGCAACACAGAGGAATTGGTCTTGGATTTCAACCTACTGCCAACAAAAAAGGATACATAGACAAATATACATCAAGATCTATAAAATTTGAAGATTAAAACTCTGAGGTAATAAAAAGAATGACAATTCAGGCAATTTTTTTTTTTACTTTCCAGATCTTTTTACTTGAAATAAAATAATAAAATGTTTAAGAAATTTGATTTGTGAGGCACTTTTAGTTCAAGTTTTCAACTGCATACACTGGTGAAGGTGGGTCCTCACTTCAGCTAAACAGTAAGTTTTTGAAACCTTTAGCATGTTTCTTCTACAAGGCAAGGCACAGCCTCCTTCAAAGACTGAAGATATGTGTGCCATGGCTGCAACTAGATTTTTTTTTTAATGCTGATTTAATAAACTTATTTTTAGCTACCTCTTAGTGACTCAAAGGGATTTTAGTTCTCTGTAAAATCTTCACATTTTTACACTCAGTGAGTGGTACAAAGTCATAAGGAGATGAAAAACATGGAACAAGAATGGTTTAATAATTTGAGTGGCATTTATTATCAGCTTGCTAACTCCTTAAATATATGGTTCTGTCTAAACAGTTAGCCTTAACAAAATAAAACATTTTTGTGCAAAAATATATCTTAATATCTGTGTAAGAATTTAGCTCATTAAGAATTTACCACTAAGCAAAAGCAGCAATAGATGCAAGGTTTCAGCATGGTTCCCTACTGTGGGAAAGAAATGGTGAGAGTGAAAATTTATTAGGAGTTATCAGTACATGTAACTAAATTTCACAAGGGTAAGGTGATAGATTTGTATACACAAACTCCCCCAGAACACACAGATGAACTGCAAATTGTTTTATTCAGTGATAGAGTACTTTGCAAATATAGAGTACTTCGCATACATTTCCTTTTTCATCTGCAGACAGCACTTAAAGATTCCTTCCATTTTACAGAACAGGGGACTAAAATGAAAACATAAACATGTCTGTGCAAATGTATTGTAGAAATTAGAACAATAACACCTCGGCCATTTTTCTCTTCTACTGGAACCAATAAAACAAATGCTGGCAGCATCCCAAAGCAGAGAGATTACTTAGTAGGATTATTATATTGAAATGCTTCTTTCTACACAGGAAAAACACTATTCTACAAGTGGGATGAAGTTTTGAGGCTGTGAATTCATTTGTGCAGATTATCTTCTTCCTTTTTTGTTAAAATTACAACAGATTAGATTTTGAAAGGCTTTCACTACCACAGAGGTTCAAAATACTGTTTACTGAATGTAAATCAGCATTTAAAATATTATTTTATATTATGGTAAAACTGGAGACAAATTCGGGTTAAATTATTGCACTCAGAACAGTTTTACCTTTACTGTGCCCAATAAATCTTTCACACTAAGTAAAAACACACTGAACTCCTCCAGTCAGAATCTAGATCAGTGATTTTTGGCCTTGGCTGCTTGCTGCCTTGTACAGGTGACTCCTTGGAAAAGACACATCCATCAGGTCCTGGACTGCAGAGGAAGCCGAAGGGCCAGGTCTGCAAAGTGACTCATTTCAGGTTGTTGGCTTCGCCTCTTGATGTATTCCAGTGTTTTCACCTGGGTTTGAAAAGAAAGGGATGGGAGATTTTTAGTGTCTTTGTCTTATTTCACTTCATCTTTGTATACACACTGTCATGATTTTCACTGGCTGTGGGAGCACCTAGCATTTCTTACTTATTATCACGGATATCTGTCTTAAAGGCTCTCAAATGCCACTTTCCAAGCTTACACCATATAGTTCCTCCACAAAATAAAAATGCTGTATTCCTCTTAGAGCTAGTTTTCTGTTCTGAAAAAAAGTTACAGCACCCAACACTTTCAGGTTCCTTAATGCTCAACACAGGATTAAAACTGCTAGAAAGATACAGACCACTTGAAATAAAAGAAGCTGCTTATTCATTAAGAAGCATTTAAAAAAATAAGTTGTTGGGGTTTTAAGATAATTTTTTGGGGGAAGGGGAAGAGCAACTTGTAAAGAGATTAGGTTTTTTCAGATCAAGAAAATATTACTTTTTTCCAAATTAAAGAGTGGCAAAAGATCATAAGAATTAAAATTTTTCTGCATTATCTGTTTTCCTTACCATAGTCTTGGTGTCAGCAAAGCCATGTTTCTGAGCAAGATTCCAGAGATTGACTGAAAGCTGGTTTAGTTTGTTGTTTCTTAGATCCCCATGAGCTACAATAGTGTTAAAGAAATAGAGTGCCAACTGGCTCTGCCGCTTCAGGGTCTACAAGGAAACAAAAATATTCCTATATTACCATATAATCATCCCCAAACATGCAGCCTAACCTCACTGGGTTCTCTGAACACTTAGAAGTGCAAAGGGCACTCATTTTGTAACACACAGCAATAGTTACAAACAATACAGGCATAGTTTTCAAGTTCCATTCAAAATGCAACAAGTTATGATAATGAATCAATGAAAGTTGCTGTAAATGAAATAACTACACCAAACTCCTACATCTCATATCACTTTGGCACAGCACATTATATAGGTCTGACACATTTTTAACTCAAGACTCCCTACAATTGCATAGAAATCACCCTCCCACCACCCAGCCTTGCACTTGGAGCACCATAGCTCTATATATTTTAGAGAGACCACTATCATCAGTCTAGATTAATGCAACTTCAGGCTTTTTTCCAGCAGTCTATTCTACATCTATTTATTTAAGCAAAGATTTTTTTTTTCCCTGCTATTCTTTCACTGAAACTTTGGTTATACCGACATATTTGGACCATATTTGCAGCTACCTCCCCTAAAATTGCTGAGGAAGGCCCTTGAGGAGGACCCCTCCCTCATGGTACTCTGCCATGAAGGAGCACCAGCCTCTGTGGAGGAGTTCTGGGGCACAAACTATCCTGCACTAAGCTTGCAAGGTGCTCCCACCCTGATTTGGAGTGAGTGGAAAACAGAAATAATTAAAATGCTATTGCAGGTTCTGCTGATTCCTATAGAGTGAGTTTTCACGGTTAAAAGGATGAATTATTATTGGATGCATCTGAGCTGTAGTATTTGTTTATACTGCTCTGCTGCAGCTGTCCTTTGTTCTTTGCTCCAGAAAGCCCACTGACAAAGGCACAGCTCCATCTTACACAAACCACAGCAGTGGAGTCCTAGTTTACAACACAACTGTCAGCTGAGCACCCCAATTAATGGACTTAACACTGCACTTCACCCCTCTCAGTTCAGTTCATACTGAGGTAGCTAATGCACAGTGCTCAGAGGCAAGGTTACAGGCAGCACCAGCCAGAGATTGGGGTAAGAGAAGTGCAGGGACCTCTGACTTTGTGTTCCTGACACGGTACCGATGTAGCCATGCAGTCTCTGCCCTTTCCCTAAGGGACTGAAAGTAAATTAATTTCTCACTGCCAGCAGAAGAGAGGTCAGATGCTATTAATCAAAGAAATGGCACACACTGTGCTATCAGTCCTCCAGATAAAGATGGAAAAGGAGAAAGCCATGCTATGGAAGAACTGGCCAAGTAGGAAAGAGGCCAAGCATGCCCCAAACTAGAAGCATCAGACTGCTACTGTACATATGTGACACACTAGATCTGTACATGCAGAGACAATCTGCCATATCATAAACCACACACACACAATGCCCAGACCTGCTCAAGGCCCCACAGAAAGTTCCCTGAGCACTTCATTAATTACATGAAACTGCCATGAAGACAGCTCTTCCTCTAACAGTCACCTGCATTAGCAATTTCCATCCCAGTAGCTCCAAAACTTGTTCACAGGCTGAAAGTACAACCATCATTTGGGAGCACTGAAGTACTCCCTACCAGACACAGAAGTACAGTTGATCAATCTAGTCCAGTAATAGAAACAAAGAGCAGAAATACAGCTCAAAAAGACAATAAAAGGGAAAATAGCTATGCTTAAATAGTACTGTTGTATTTCTCTTAGGACTAACACTCTTCAGGGAAAAACAGATCCAGGGTACAGCCAGGTAGTCCAGGTTTTGCCACATTATTCATTAGGCACCCTGCCACATCACCATGTATCCTGGATTAACAACATAACCTCTATTACCTCATTTTTTTCCCCATTGACCATCTAATACAAACTTCAAAGAGGTCCCTGGGAATTGCTTGGAGGTTTCCTCACAAGAAGTGAGGCAGTTCAGTTACTGGGCAGAATGCAAAAGCAGCAGTTCTCCAGTCTGAGTATTGACTAGCAAGGTTTTCCAGGCAACATCAACGCAAATACAAAATCTACTCTTCAAAATAAGGATGAAATTTTTTACTAATTTGAAACACAGGTACTTCAAAAAGGATCATCCTTCAAAAAGGACTCAGAAACAAGCTAAGAGAATGAGAGGCACACTAACTGCTGTTGTGTTGGGGCAGGTATAACAGAATTGATTTTGGCACCTCGTCCTCAGTTACACAACAGCAAGTGGAGAGAGAGGCAGGCTCAGGTATGCAGGAAATCCCACCACGACAGAAAATGAACAAGGAGTGTCAGGCAAGGCTTCTGTGATGATGAACAGGAATGTTGGTGTAACATGGCACTGACCTCCAACCCGAGGGATGCATCTGTGCCAGCACACTGCCAAGCCTGGCAAGATTGAGTTGTGGGTGGCAGCCCAGCTCACAGGGTGTTCACAGGCAGCAAGGAGAAAGCAACAGCTCAGCTATTTGGCAACCACACACATCATGGGACTAGCAATTCCCACACCAAAAAGAACTGCCAGCCTTCTAGGCAGCACATTTTCCATAATCCTTGGAATAATGCTGATGACAATGAAACAAAGAACAAACTACATCATGCCAGAACGTGACCCCCTTGTGTTCTCACCCCTCCACCAAAGAGCAGAGTAATGTCCAAATTTCATATAGCATAACAGAAAAAAAGCATAGTCTTTCATACAATGGGCCACCTAACATTCTGTTTCAAAAATTCTACCTCTTCTCAATTTAAAACACAGCCCCACACAGAGAACTATGTCCAACTCTGCTTCTAGTCAAGTATTCAACCACATGTGAAATCAACTGAAGTTGTTATGAGTTTATATAAAATTAAAAATCAGTTGTGTTGAAAGAAGAAGCCTCAAGAGCATCTCTCCTGCTCCATTTTTGATACTTACTATAAAAAGTCCAGTATCTACCATGCAGTACA